ATATGTCCCGAAGGACCGCGTAGACCCTCGAATCTTAGCATGCCAACTATACCCCTAGCTCTCATGACACATATCATGGGCACTATCTTTTATATCCTTTTTCATATTCATGTAAACATATCACATATTCATATAAACTCATAGCTTCATTTACATATACATGTAATCACGTAGTTCATGTAAATTCTCATATCATTTCGTATTCATATATCTCATAGCATATAAAACACTTCTCATGTGTTCCTATAAACATGTCATGCATATCAGGCATGTTTACACAACTCATTTCTATATAACTTACATGGATCTATATTCTTTTTCATATACCCATATAATCATATAATATAATATTTCATATAACCTCATGTATCACATCACATAGATACATACTCAAGTAGTCATAGCTACATATCACTTAAATTATTCATATTTACATAATTCATGGTCATATAACTTCTATCACCAAGTCACTTATCTTATCTCCTATTCTCATATGTTCATATTTATCATATAACACATAAGATTTATTGCATATTTATATCGCATTCCTACATCACTAATTCATAATATAATTTATATTGTATCATCTATTTTATTATTTATTTCTTAGTATGCACTTACATTACATAACCTATATTATACTTATAAACATATATATATATTACTTCTATTATTTATTTTATATACAAAATTAATCTAATTACTTAATTCAATTCCATATAACTCCTATAATCTTCTCATATCACTCCATAGCTTTTATCATACAACTAATGTATCATAATTTTATTTAAGCATATGAATCTTTCCCATCTATCTTATCATATATGTTCATATTATCACTTAATTGATCATACTACTATGTACTTGGTCAACTCACCTTCTTATTATTTATGTAACCTTTTCCTTTGCTTACTTAGTTCATATCATTTCTCATACACTCACTTTTACCATATTCGCATATTATTAATTAAGTTATCTCATATCATGTATTCACGTAGTTATATTTCATTTCTATATATATCTCAAAGTTCTTATCTTTTATATTCATATAATTTATTATAATCTAAAATGGTTTATATCATCATAACATAGCATATATTCACGTCAACCATATAATACATATATACAATAACATGTCAACACATATAATTCATACACACATATATTTCTATTTATGAATTCATGCATTTTACTATTGGAAATAGACTTGTCGCAAGTCTTATTTCCATTTAACATCATAAACTACTAATATGCACTCACCTAGACCTTACTAAGTTTCAATCCACTTTTATGCTTTTCTTTCTTCCGATCGAATCTTAACTTGATAATCGTTCTGGAACTTGTTCGTGCTCGATATCTACATAATCATATATTTATACTATCAGTATCCAATTGATATACTATAATCTATCATTTCTTAGACCAAAAGAAAAGTCTATTTCTATTTCCCCTTTGAAGTGCATCGATACATTCTACAGTGCATCGATGCATTCTTTAACATGTGCATCGATGCACTACTCATGCATCGGTACAAAAATTACCTTCGATATTTTAAATCTTAAGGGGGTACATCGATGCACTCCTTATGCGTCGATGCACTAATTGCATTCGATGTTCATTTATTTGAGAGTGCATCGATACACATTGAAGATGCATCAATGCACACTACCCAGAATTACATTTTAAGCACGAAAATGTCTTATTTTGACCCCAAATTCTACTTATTAATCCCTCCTTATACCTTAAAATTATCTATACATATTTAAACCTTCTTATAATACTATAACACTTCACCATATCTTATAATTCATCATAATTCTTGAATCAAAGAATTTCATCAAATTTTCCATGTGTTCTAAATTCAATTCTATCCCTTCTAACTTCTTAATTAACCATTTGACAAGTCAAATCCATCTTTAGAACTTCAAAAACCTTTCTATAACAAAAGTTCATTTCTACACCCTTCATATAATTTCATTTTTAATTCTCTATTCTTGATGTTTAAAGCTTATATAAGCTTTCCTTAAGCTTATATAATACTCAAAGAATCAAAATCAACTTATAAATCCAAGAATTAAACAGCTGAAATTAAACTCACCTTTAACTGAGGCTTACGGGGAAAAGAGGAAGCTGAAGAAGAAGACTCTGGATAGATTTCCTCACTTCCCACGTTTTTATATTCCTTAAAAAGAGAGAATAAAAATCTTCTCTTAGAAAAGACCATAATACCCTTGTTACTTTCCAACTTTACTATTAAATCCATGAACTTTTAACTTATTTTGAAATCAAGCACATAGTTTTCAAAATTTGTAATTTAGTAACTGACCCTGAATTTCGGGATGTTACACATATATACGGTACTTCGGTACACTTATTTGGTCCACTAAAATATGTATATGGTCTTTAGGGGTGGTCCTTTGGGACATATGTGTTATATGTGGTCCTTCGGGATATTTCTATGTGGTCATTCGGGACAAATCCTATGTGCCCCTAGTGTGAATTATACGAGCTGTGGTGACATCATATGTGCACAACCTCTATGTACTCACATATCTTTAGTTCTCACATGTGTAAATGGGCTAATAAAGAGATAATATAAGTAAACTTGTTATGATATTATGTATGTTCCTTTGTGAAATGGTATATGTGTTATATGATGTGTATAAATGATAAGTACATGATCATATAAAAAAGGAATTAATGATAATAATATGATAATGCTAAGAATGAATATAATAATATATGTGCATATGTGTATTTGTTATATGAAAGGATATATGCTTGTGTATGATATGATAGAAGTAATTGTTAATGCATTGTTGTGATTTAGAGTTTCCATTATATGTTTATATGCCTCACTGAGTCATAGACTTAGCGTGTGAGTGTTTCAAACGTAGGTTTCGAGAAGATAGAGGAGCAATGAGGAGCAAGACATGCTAGCTTCTCATTTCCAATTATCGGATCAGAAAAGTCTTTTATTAATATGTATTTTGTTATATGAAAATGTAGTTGGCATGTAAGATAAAAGATTTTAATTGTATAAGCTCTGATAAGTTTTGTAAACTCTTTTATTGGAATAATATGAAGTTTTATTTAATATAAGTGAGAAATTTTCATTATTATGCACAAGTAAAGGTTTCAAAAAGTCAATGTGATACTTCAGACTCGTATCCAGGTCGGATACGGGTTGGGGGTGTTACAAAGCTCAAATGATCAACCAAATATTTGCTAAGAGGGGGTGAATTGACTTTTTTGAGATTAGAGAAAGGAGGAAAAAAAGATAGACAATTTTCACAATGATTTATAGTGGTTGGACTTCTCAAGCAAATCTACACCCACTACCTTAGCTTCTCACTAAGAATTTTCTAACAAATTCACTAATTTGTTATTTCTTTTTGCAGGATAAAGAGATAACCTTTACAATGAATAAAATGTAAACAATAAAAATCTCTCAAAAGGAAGGGTGTCTATAAGATTTATGCTAACAAAAACAAAACCTAAAGATATACAATTAAGCTCAAAACACAAATACTTACGAGAGAAAGGAAAATAAGAAAGAAAAGCTCTTCTCTTGTGTTTGGATGCTTAGATAGGTGTTGGTAACCTTCTTCTAGTGTCCTCAACTTGTTTTTATAAGTTGGAATGAGTTTGTGGTCGTTTTTAGCCGTTGGGATGTTTTGGAGACGTTGAAGATTAATTTTCTGCAAAATAAAACTACCAAGGATAAAGAGTACGTGTACTCCTTTCATGAGTATCAATACTTCTTTTGTAATATTTAAATATACTAGCCATTAAAGACCGTTGGGCTTGACCGATATTGATACTAAGCTCATGATATTGATACTACTATGTAAAGTAGTATCAATACCCATTTTGGTATAGGTATCTATTTTGCATTCTGGAATTTGAGCAATTTGGAAAACAATTGGTAGTATCGATACTTCTCTTACCTTTGGTATCGATGCTGTTCATATAGTATCGATACTGTAAGAAAAGTATCGGTACTACGTACCCTGAAAAATAATTTTATGCTCAAATTCTAGTTTAATGGACTTTGAATTATTTTTGAAAATTTTGAACAAATTCAATCAGGTCCAGAAACATTTTACCTTAATTTGTTATATCAAAATATTATAAAACATAGTTCAACAAACTTATATAAAAGTTTTATATTATTAATAGATATATGTATACACCTTAAAAATATTTTTAAATTTATCACTCATTTAAATAGTGTAATTCATGATATTAATAAGATGTTAACAAATAAAAAACCTTATACTGTATAAGATGAATTGATCGGAACCATCTAGAAAACTAATAAAGTTCTCTATAATTTGTTTATTAATTACTACAAGAGATGCAGCCAACAACATGACAAAGATTAAAATGTTACATTTGTATATTCTAAACTCAAAAATCTTATAATACAATAAATTTAACACAGCAAACAACTTACGAAACAAGTAGTTAAAAGTTATCTATCCCTCAAGTAAAAATTATTCCAAAAAAAAGAACATCATGACTTGTGGATTATTATTTCATAAGTGACTATAAAATTTCCACCAAAAATACATAAAATAGTTTACCTTATTGCTGCCTTAAAAACCCTATCACATAGTAGTAAACTAAACGCATAAGGGTATTTTTTACTCCTATAATATGCTCAATTTATCATTTTTGGTCGTATCGTATTTTCGCATCAATTTAACTCCCGAAATTACTCAATGTATCATTCTATACCCTACTCTTCACTTAAAATCCTAAATTGAGAGTTTTGAGTTAGAGATTAAGGTTTAGAGTTTAAAGGTTGTGGGATTATGGTTTAGCGTTTAGAGTTATTAATTTAAGATTTTAAGTTAGGGGTAGTATATAGAATGACGCAATTAAACAATTTTGAGAATTAAATTGACACGAAAATACAATAGGGGCGAAAATGATAATTTTTGGTAAAGTTAACCTAACACCTAAATTAAATATACTACTATTGTTATGTCTACTTAATTTGTCTTCTTTCTGACTGAGATTTGGGCCTTCAGTGGAGTTTTCATGACTACAGTGAACTCCTGCTTCTCCTCCAAGCTAATGGAATCTCCATCAACGGCTTTCCATTCAAATTTCCAAATAAAATTCGCCACGAAATACTCCAAATGCAGAAGTGCTAACCCAAGTGCAGGGCAAATCCTTCTTCCAACTCCAAATGGCATCATCTTAATCTCTCGACTCCCTGTGATATCAAACACTTGCTCATCGGAATCACCGGTTTTCAAGAACCTTTCCGGCTTAAACGCCATTGGATCTTCCCAAACATCGGGATCCCACCCCATATCCGCCACCATGAAATTGATCGTTCCGTCTTTCGGGACCTTGAAACCACCCAAGACGGTGTCTTCAGTCGCTCGATGAGGCAACACAAAGTGTCCCGGTGGGTGCCTTCTTAGTCCTTCCAATATCACCGCTTTCAAATATGCCATCTTCTGCAAATCATCTTCTTTGATCACTTCGTTATCCCCCGCAACGCTTTTGATTTCCAGCCATAATTTGTTTTGAATGTGTGGGTATTTCACCAAGTTCGCCATGATCCACTGCAGTGCGGTGGAGGTTGTATCGGTGCCGGCGTTGAGGAACTCCGAGGTTAACGTTACCATTTCGCCATCATTAAGCTTCCTTTTCTCCAATGGTAACTCTAAATCCAACAAAGTATCAACATAAGCCAAAACGTAATCATCACTCTCGTTGTTTTTCAACTCTTGTTTAGCTTTCTCTCTTGCTCTTATTAATGGAATCAGCACTTCTTCTTGCTCCTTACGTAACTGGGAAAGCTCCCGCCATTTATGTCGAAGCAAAACCTTGGTAACACTAGGGCAAAAGTTAAGTATATTGAACCTATCAAGGCTTAAAAGAATCTTCCGAGCGACAACCTCGATCGCTGCTATTTGCTCTTGGCTAAGCTTGTCTCCAAAACACATTAAAACCAGTAAACAAAACATGCCGTGTCGGAAATGAGACAAAACCTCAACGGATTCTCCGGTTTTCGCCTTTGTCGTTAAACTATGAAAAAGAATCTCCCAAACCCATTTACGTGCATGCGAGAATGACTTTATACGTGAGGGATGGAGGATTTCGGACGTCAAATTCCGCCGTATAATCCGCCATGTCGGGCCGTAAGCGCCGGAGCTGATGTTACGTTGGTTGCTATTCATGATCTGGTTGGTGGGAAGAGTTTTGGGGCGGTCTGAGAAGATGGAACCATTTTGGACTAAAGCCTGGTGAGCAAGGGAGCGGTCGAAGATGAAAATGGAGGGACGAGAACCGATGTGGAGAGTGACCATGGGACCGAGCTTCAAGTGGAGGGAGCGGAGAATGGGTTCGATTTGGAAGAATGATTTGGTGAGCCATATGATGTTGCCGATGAGAGGAAAAGTGGAAGGGCCCGGAGGCAGAGCTTTTGGAGGCTTTTCCGAAGGGGAAAAGAGATTGAACAAAGCTTTGAGAAGAGCAACAATGGCGGACGTGAGAAGGATGAGGAGCCAAGTTTCCATTGTTTTTGTTTACGAATCAAGTTAAGGAAGATGATGGTGTGAGAAATAAAAGCGTGGGATTTCGATTTATATAGGTTCGGCTTGGCCGGTCTTTTAATTTTTTATTTAATATTATTTTGAAAACCGAGAAATTTAACCAGATATTAGAATAATTTTTTTTATATATATAAAAACTCAGGGTAAAATCCTAATTTAGTATCTCAACTATCACTTTTGTTTTGTTTAGTCACCTTTTTTTTCTCAAAATAATACTTAATATTTAGTTTCGATTTCATTTTGGTCACCTATCGTTAAAAAAAGTAATGATGATACTGAGATATCACCATAAGATAATGTCACATCATTATTGAAAAACTAAAATAAAAGCCACCGCATCAGTAGTTCTGTTAATTTTTTACTAATGGATGACCAAAATGAAATCAACATGTAAAGCTAAATATGATTTTGAAAAAAAAATAGTTGGATGATCAAAACAAAACTGAAGTGATATTTGGAGTACTAAATGCGGAGTTTACCCAAAATATTGAACTACTCAACTCTCTTAAACAAATGATGTAATCATAATCATAAATATATGAGACATATATTTGAATGCTTATCATAATTAAATTAATAATAAAAATACATTAAATAAAATAGACATACTAAAATTTGATTTAAAAAAGAAAGTTAAAGGTGTGAGTATGAAAGTTATAGATTATCGAGAAGGATTTAAGTTTAACATTGGGGATTAGATGCAATTGACCGTAAAATTAAACATGTTTAATAAAATAAGATAGATATTATCATAAGCCGAATGATAGTAATTTAATATAAGCATCTAGAACAATGTTTGAAATGATTATTTAATTCCATTCATAATTTGGCCTGCCTGAGTCAATACAATCTTTAGGATCATAAATATTTGAAATCTCAATACCAAAACCAACCACTCTGAAAATTATGTTGGAGTATGCCAACAAATGGAAATACAAGGAAAACATATATGTTAGCATTGATTAAAATATATAAATAAATAGCAATACAATGCACGAACCTGGTAAAGGAATTGTTGTTATTTATTAAGGTCTCGGGTTCGAATATCGACAATGCCAGGAGTACGAACGATTAATGTCAAGTGGTTGAGAGTTATCTTTAAACAAATACTACATTACTTAGCTCAAATTACACAATATATATAAATAAAATAACTACAATATAATTATTATATCGTTATAAAATGAATTATCTTAAACTAAATCCGTTCATATACTACTCATAAAATTAAGTTAAACATCTATCATGAATTTCTCAATTAATGGATTTAAGATTCCTCTCCCCAACGAATCACTTTTCTCTTTTAACTTTTAAGAGATTAATATAATTTTACTTCAATCATTTCGTACTTCAACATATATATATATATATATATATATATATAATTATTATTTTTATTTTACAAACTCATATATTCTCTTATCGTTATAAATTCAGTCTTAAATCATACATAATAATACACGAGTCGCATACAAACACAAAAATAAATAATTTTAAACCATACATTATAGATTCGGCCATGAAGAATCTCAACAAGCTTGAATCAATTTGTATGTCGATAGTTGGTGTATAAATGCCGTAACAATCCATTTTAATTTCTTTTCACAAATTAGATCACCGTTTGTGTTTCGCTTCTAGATTACTAGTAAAAGTCACAATATAAAACAAAAATGTTACTATTCAAAATATAAATAAATAAATAAAATATTAATGATATAATTAATAGTATAAATAAATCGAGTTTTGAAGAAATTATATTTATATTCATGTTCAAATTGTGCTTACAAGTTTTTAGTATCACGTTCATGTTAGTTTATTTATTTTTGAAGTCGTTTGTACTCATTCATTTAATATTCGTAAATATGTTCGATTAACGTTTATGTTCATGTTCGTTTTATTTTCATAAACTTATTCGTTTAACATTCTACAACCAACACTTTCTCTTAATCTTTTAATCCTTTTATATGAAAGCAAAACAAAAAAAATGATAAAATTACATCACTAATCCCTTCACAGTTTAAACTCTAAAGTTTACATTATGTTCAATTTAGTTCCTATATTCACCAATATTTACAATATAAATATTAAAAGGAAAAGAAGAACCGAATAATCGAACTTATAAACGAGTCAGTAAATGAGTTTATAAACAAGTCGATAAACAAATTTAAAAACGAGTCGATAAACGAACTTGTAAACAAGCTTGTTTGTGAAGTGAATGAACAAAACAAACCTTTGTTTGTATTCATTCATTTATTAAATGAAGATAAAAAACTTTATTCATACTCATTTATTTAACTTAATAAACAAACATATACGAATGATTCACGAATAGTTCGTCAAATACTTTGTTCATTTACATCCCTAAGTTTATGTAATCACGATAACGGACGTTGTTCCCACATCGAATACAATCTTCCAAACATCGTATATTCAAAGTGAGGAAGCAAAATCCAATCGATGTTGCTCTCTCCGTGAGAAAGAATTTTGAGGAAAAAAATAAAAAATAATCATAATTTTTTATAGATAAAATAATGAATTAAAACTTAATATTTAAAAGTCAAAGCAAAGATAAATCAGGAAATAATATGAATACGAATACCATAAAAATCTCAATCACCTCTGATATCTACTTAAATTAAAAAATAAAATTTATTTAAAAACAAAAAGATTTCCATTTTATTATTTGTATCATCAAACACAAACAACATTCAAACGCCAAAACTTACATAATTATTGAAAAGCTGAAACATGATGATGAGGTGTGAAAATACACGAACAAGACACTAACACATGGATTGCTGGGTCCACAATTTAACTTTGCAAATGAAATCCATGGTAACTAGAAACATAAACTACTATCCATTTTGGATAACTCTTTAGGCTGCAAAAAAGATTGGGATCTTAGCAAAAGCATACCTCATGGCTCCTGATGATGCAGCAACCCACTGTCGGATTTTGCAACTCGCTTCAGCTTACGATCCGAAAACCAACTCTTTCAAAGTTCTTAGCGGTGATTCGTATCCGTGCACAACGGTGTCTCTCCATAGTGCCATTCCTGTTGGTAAAAGTAAAAAAAAAAACAAATTATATTTGTTTTCCCTTCTCCATCTTTATGTCTCTAGGTGATGTGTAAGGTAGCGCAATATGAGTTAGACGGGATGGAGGAGCAACCTAGCCATGAAATTAAACCAGCCGTTGCAGCAAAGAAGAATTCCCGGCTGATAGAATTGAAACTGGAACCACAAAACAATCAAGACATTTCATGATAAAAATTGCACCTATACATACTAAATCATATAGCCTCCTTACAAGTATAAGCATACGATGTTGGCATAACCATAGAAGAGAGTTGCCCAAGCAGAACCAGTGAACCTGCAAACTCAGTAATGCCATGAAAAATTAGGACAAACTCAAACCACAAAATGAATAACAATTGAGTCTGATGTCACTTATAATTCAGTCTGCTTAGTCTAATATTTTTTTGTTTCACTGCTGTGTGCACGAGGTCGGAATAATTTAAACGAACAAAACACTAAGGTTGAAAGAATGCATTACCACATAAAATCGCGAATAAATAGTGCACGTGGGATCATAAGTCCATTTCCAATCATAGCAAGCAACATTGAAATCGCTGATAGGCCTTTAATATTATCAGGGTTAAGAAAATTCGTCCACTGAAAAACGAAGCACAAATTTTAGTCAGCTATGCATGTGAATTAGCCAATTTTACTTTATCATAGCCTTTATATACAGAATTTCAAACACGAATTACCATTTGTGAAACTGGCATCCACATAAAAAGAAGAGTTGCCGTCCATCCGGAAATAGCTCCCACAAATTTGACACCTTTTTCCGAAAGTCTGCCCATATGTTTCTGCAAATCTCAGCAAGTGCAAGCATGGTTTTCAAAACCGGATCGGTTAGCGAACCGGCCATGCTACCGGTTCACTGGTTCAACCGGTCGGAAGAACCGGACGACGTCATAATTATTTAAAAAATTAAATAAAAATACCAAAAATATTTAATAAAAAATAATTTTTTATATCACAAATCATAACATATATAAGTTAAAAACCCTAAAATCAAGTAAAATAAAACGATTCAGATTAACTACAACATAATATTTAATGTAAAACATAATAAATAAAAAATATAATTATATAACTATAATTAAAAAATAAATTTGGGGCTAAAAAAATCATAACAAAATGATATTGTTTGGTTTAATTTTTTTTAAAAACAATCCCACATGGCTAATAAACATAAAAGAGCATCCCAAAAGTCTAAAGAGTAAAAATATGAGAACAAAACAATCTCACATGGCTAAGAAACATAGAAGAACATCCCAACTAACTTCTATAAATAATAGAGGTAATTTGACATTCAAAATCATGGAACATTTTGATGAGCATTGAGTGAATTATTCTTTCACTTCAATCAAGCTCGAATTTTATGCTTCAATTGAGCTTCTAAATTTTTTTTGAGTTCAAGCTTTTTTGAATTCAAGTTTCAATATTATATTTCGAGTTGAACTTGATAATTTTCAGCTCGTGAGTTTGAGACGAGTCGAGCTCAGCAATACTCGAGTTCGACTTGGCTCGTTTAATAAATGATGTCGTTTGGTTTAATTTCTTTTTAAAAAAAAAAACAAAATTGACGGTTTTTTCTGGTTTTCAGCTGATCCGGTTCGAACGGTTCAGCGGTTCCGGCCGGTTCACTAGTAGCGGTTCAACCGATGTAGATTGAACCGGACTAAGCAGCGGTTCCCGGTTGAACCGGTCGATCCGGTCCGGTTTTCAAGCAAGTTAAAAAGAAACTTTAATCAAATCACTCGAAACATAAAATTTAACGATGTCAGAGCAGCATATAGATCTTACCATAGTAACAGCTGCTACGGCTAGAAAAAATGCTACTGCCCCTGGCAAGATGCTATTGGGTATGTATGGGACAAACGTGGACCACATTATCTGTACCCAAATTGGTTCAAAAGATGGTGAGAGGCTTGAAATAAACACACACATATAGATTTGAATGAATGAACTATAAATATATCCAGTTTGAGTTTGTGTGAATGGGAACAGTTAAGTGCAAGCATAGAACAGCGGGACGAGTTTTACCTGGGGAAGCACGGAAAGTCCACCAACAGTAATAAAATCTTCCCAAAATTGCCAGATTGTAGTGTTGAGCATATCATAATAATTCAAAAAATTTAAAACGAGTCCAGAACCCACAACAACAGAAGTGGCCACGAAATAAGGGATAGGCATAGCTTCTGCCATTGCAAGCTGAGCAATCACCACATATGTCGATACCACTCCTAGTGCTTGCACCACAACTGCCTCCTTTTCCTTTTTCTTGGCAAAGTAAGAAAGCAATGAAAGGTTTCCCAACAAGCCGGTGCACATTCCCTGCATTTACAACACTCCCTTAGGTTCCACAAAACAACATTTCCATTCGGTCCATTTGCTAAAGTTCAAGAAATACATCAAAATTTCCATATAACGGTAATAAATTACTTCTCGGAAGGGACTGATAGGATCATCAAATAATGCCATTGCATGTGATGAGTCTATAAAGCAAATTACACTTTAAATTATTAGATTCTATAAGAAAACTCAGAACCAGTAAAATTAAGCTAAGTCAAGTGATCAATACAGGTTTTTGTACTGTTTCTTCAACTGAACGAAAGTGAAGAAAACCAAATACATGATTCAGCAACAAAACATAAACAATTTGGTATCTATTTTCTATTTACACATTGTTCCCCCACCACAAAGCAGAAAATAATGCTGAATGCGTTGTTTCATTGCTATCGTGAAACAAATTGAAGTCTATCGGCTAGTGTGGATTTTTACAAAACCAAAAGGAAACTAAATTTAGCTTATTTACTTCCACTACAATTGGTAAATTTGCAAGAAACCATCTCATATCATCGATGTGTTCTTTAACACTTAAATTTTGGATTCAAGCTATCATTGAAAAAGTACTAGGAAAACAACAATAAATAAACAAAAAACCATATAAATCATAAGTAATCCACAAAACTCTTACAGTGATTCTAGATTACCAGCCATGGTACCGCCAGAAGGGCAGTCTTATTCCCTATCAGAAGATTGCGAGCGTTGAGGATGATCTGAGGCAACTGAAGCAATAAAAATGGTATATTCGCCGCCCCAGAAAACGTAGATGTCAAGGAATCCCATTGCTCATAGCCTTTTTTACGCTTAAAATCCACTGATCCCTTTCAAAGTACAACAGCAGACACAGAAATAAGAATATGGTGAACACATTTTAACATAACTTGCACAAATTCAGCCCAGTTAAGTTAATCATTTAATCCCAAATCTCCTCCATTTCCTACTAAGATTTCCAAAACCTGGAATCCATGAAGTTGCAAGTAATCCACCACATTTAATTTTTGAAAACAGGATCTTAATGACTGTATTTTTCCTTGAAAACACAGATAAAAACAATAGTATTAAAGAAGAAGAAGAAGAAGAAGAAGAAGAAACCTTCAAATTTTAATCTTGGGCAGTGATAAACTGAAACACCACCTTACCGGTTAGTCTGCCATTTCCCCAAAGTCTACAGGTTCAATTTAATGCCTTATTTGATTGCTCAAAACTCAATGATAAAATAAATAAATAAATTGAAAAAAAAGAGAGTGAAAATGAACATTTGATTTGATTCTCGTGTGTAAAACCACACCCCCATAAACATAATCTTATTTATTATAATAAATGAAATGTCACTGTCGATAGAAAAGGAAATGGTTATAGAAGAATTGATTATCTACCTTGTGAAGCGGGCGAGGAACGTCGGATTCAAGAGCTCGAATAGGGACGACTCGGTGGCGGAGCGGGAGGAACGATTGCCGACTCAGGGGCAACTTGTTCTTACTCGAAGAGAAGCACTTAGATGTCAGTAAACGTGGAGGGAAACCGCAGTTTCGAGAACACAAAGAAAACTGGTCATTGGCAACAATGGAAGCCATCGGCAAAACCAAAGAATCAGCCATTGGAATCAAGAAAAGAAACTTTCTTTGGTTATACAGATTGAGCGTCTGTTTTGGAGGGATGATTGGGGTGGGGGAGGTTAGGGACTGGAGAGCTGACACGTGGAAAGTTTTAGAAGATGGTAGGATATTATTTCACTGAATCGGCGTGTGAAGATATTTTAATCTCACTTTCGCGGTATGAATCTCATTTATTAGTATTTTTTATTCCTAGCATCCGTTTTACATTCTATAATTATTTATGATTAGCATTTAAACTTATTTTCCTTAATCAAATTTATAATTTAAATTTTCTTTTAGCAAATGTATTATATCTTCTTTGTTATTTTCCTACTTTTACTTTGTTGTTATATTCGTCATATGATCTTAAAATAATATATCTCATCTTTTGTCGTTCGTACCATTAATTAATTTATAATTAATTTTTAAATAACCACTCATTTTGATATTTATATAAAAAAAATAAATATTTATTTTTTTTAAAAAAAACAAATATTTTAGTGATTAAAACTTGTCAAGGTAATTTTGTTAGCTATTAGTGGTTTATCACTTTTGATTTAATTGAAGAGTCAGGATCAAATAGAAGAAGGTCGTTAGTTGATGTCTTTGTAAAGAAGAATATGGGTCATGAGAAAGATGATGAAGGCATAGTTGAGGTTATAATGTCAACTTGTATTCCAGTATTCATAGTGGCATTTAGTATATGTGTTAGTCATATAAGGTCATCATAACTATTTATAGGTCTGTAGATTAGATAGATCCTATAGTTAAATTTTAAATTTCATTATGGCATATTACGGAAGAAGTATTATCTATGGGCTATAATTGATGGAGAGGTCTTGTTTGAAGACCCTAGCCGGTAAAGAGCTGGTAATTTTAACGAGTCCGATCTAGAAAAGGGTTTAAAGTTTTCGGGGACTTATCTTCGAAGGTATAACAAATTGTCCCCTTTTTAGACCATCTCCAGAGGTTATTATTCTCTTCTTGCTAATCCAAAATATATTCGCAACTATTCAAATCGTAATCACCACTAATCAAAATATTTTAAATATAAGATCACTATATGCATTCAAACTACTTGTTTACTATCATAATTACAGAAAAAAATCGTGGCATAATTTTCCTTTTTTGGATCTCAGTCAGTTGGTTAGACTCTGGTTACTTTTGCTGTGCATAATACATATAAATAAATATTCACTCGTCTTTACCATGTCTATGAACCATTCAAAATCACTGTTTCAATAACATTGCCTCCATTTCGTTCTTCCTCGCCGTGTTTTTTAGTTTCTCCAGCGCTACGAGTCCGATTTGCCGCACTCTCTCTCTTGACAAACCGACGCTGAAGAATTAACAAACATAAGAAAGTGGAACCACCTCAAAAACGAAATGAAATTTACATGAGAAATAGAACCAAAGGGAATCTGTTGAATGATAATGAGTTCAGCAAAATGAGTTGACAGACATAAATATCTGTAGATATGAACAAACTCACCGTTTACTGATGTCCTCCCATGTAAGACTCTCTTTACCGAGACCATGATAAAGTCGTATAATCTCCCTCTCTCGTTCTCCGAGCGTCATATCGATGAGCCTCTTCACTTCATCCTGCAAATTTAACATTCATCCATGTGTAGAAAGAACACGAATACAGCATCAAAAGTCTCATGCACAACCATGTAACTATATTTTTATTTGGGAAGTTCTTTGATTGGATTCAATCTAATTCGTGAAGCGGGTAGACAATACATAGAGGAAGATAGTGGCAATCGATACGATAAGTAATGAATATATGTCCACTTTAAGATCGATTTTCGATTCTACTAATCTACTAATAGTCAGCTCAGAAAGCTTAGCAGAGAGCTTTCGGAGTGAAACAAAGTTAAAACCGAGTCAAAAAGTTCTCATGATTGAGCTAAACGAACGGGAAAAAGGTGCAAATATTACTATTATGAGCCTTTCATTCGATAATTTTTCGTCACAATGCTTCCTTTATTTCTTCATTCTTTGAACTAAATTATTCATTTACCTTGAGTGTCCATTCATCTACTCCATGCCATGGATTGTTTTCTTCATGGTTATCTGCAATGTACTGAATAGATAAAACCGGAACTCGATTAATTGTAAATGACATGAAATAACCATCAAGGTATTCGAGATTCTGTTGAGTTGGTTCATATTAGCGGGAACTTACACTATGATGAGTCTCTCCTGGAAGACCGTTCAAAGACGGGAATGCATCGCGGTCGAGTGAGAACACCTTATTGACTGCCTGCATTAAAGAAATTATAGAGTGAGAATTGGAAAATGCAACTGCAATTGTTAACCGGAAAGTAACTTTCATACATCTAGTACCTCGGTAGCATTCCGAACTTTCTTCTGGGACATGTTCAGACTCTTGGAAATCCTCTGGAAGTATAATAGAATCAACTAATCAAGGTCCGTTGAGAGAATAAGTAAGCTTTAAATAGAGTAAGGTTCGGATGCAGATATTAAACATCGATTTTGAAGTATAATGGTCGGTCAGACTAACTATAATTCACTGACGCTTAACCCTTATGACAGTAATAGATGCCACTTACGTCGATAGTCGGCGCTATTCCTTTCTCTTGGAGTCTAGATTTTGCATTTCGGATTAATCCCAGTCGTTCATGCATATGTGTAGGCAACCTTAATGTTCTGGAGCTCTCAACTAATGCTCTTGATACACCCTGAGATAAAGTGTGAACCATGTTAGATCCTGTACAACCACGATAAGATAAAAAAAAAAGGTGTTCCAAAGTAATATGAAGTACGAAAACTAATTTTCTCGCACATATTCGTATTCGACACTCATGTCTGAGTCAAAGTAACATAGGACCTTTCACTTTTCTGAATGATAGTACTAAATTTCGAACTTTTGTCAAGTTGATAGTATATCGAGAAATAAATCAGTTGAACATTATGAAATCTATTTCTAATATCTACAATGTTTCTTCACAAACTCAGATGAACATTACCTGACGTATCCACCAGTAAACGTAAGTTGAAATTTTATATCCCTTTGACGAATCGAATTTTTCAATGCCACGCAATAGTCCAATCAAACCACCCTACACATAAATCAGAGAAAGGCGTTTACCATGCTGTAAAACAGAACAATTTGATATGGCATGTGGATATTTCAAAGGTTGTTGATCTAATGGATTACCTGAATAAGGTCAGGCATTTCAGCACCCATGTTATCGTATCTTTGAGCTATGGACATAACCAAACGAACATTGCTCATTGCCAGTTTGTCTCTTGCAAATGAACATTCAATTAATATTGAACGTAACTCGGCGCGGGAAATGTTCAAGGATGTTGCCAGCTGTTCATCAGACGGCTCACACCCGAGCCTCTCCTTCAATCTAGAATTTCATCACAACAATTAGAACTGAATTTCGAGACTGAATTACAACAATTCATCTAATTCACATCATACAAGATTACCTTAATCTCTGATCCTCCAAGGAAAGTCCAGCTTGGATTTTCTTCGACAATCGAACAACTTCGGCATGGCTGAGCAACTCTTCACTTACTACACCTTTCACATAACCCTTCAAACGGCTTCGAAGCAGCTCCGGACTGATTAATGATCTTAGCTCCTTAGCATTAGGTTGCATCATTGATTTATTTTGGCTCAGAATTTTCCTCCTAGTATTGAATCTCCGTTGCCGAGCTGACACCCCGGAACAAGTAACAAGTACTTTCTCATAAGCTTTTCTACTCGGTGATTCAGTCCTCTCGAACGAAAGAGTACATTGCTTTTCGAGCATAGACTTCTGAAGCAAAAGAAGAGCCTCCACAGAGTAGTCAAGATCATAGCTTCCTTCTTCGAAGTCATCGGATACCTCGAACCACGGCTCCGAAGTTGAAACAATGGAGGTGGTTTCCACATGCTCTTTAAGAGCTTTAATCGACCGACTACGCCGATCGGATGAAGGAAGGCTTTGGCTACAATTAGACGACTTCTTTGCAACTATAATACTTTTTGTGGGAGCAGTGGGATAAAATGGAGATCCACCATAATCACCGGCGTATGAGAACTTCTCAGAGATATCAGAATACGAAAATGAACTCAATAGCCTCTTGCCAGTGGTAAGTCCGATAACAGCGGCTGTTGCCATCATACAGCTTCTTCTCCGGTTGGCAAAATTACCATCACACAAATTTTAGCAATCTTTTCAGTTTCAAAAAAGTGAAAATTCAGTAGGCAACTAAGATCAACAAAATTGTTCTTTTGTATGCTAAATCTCCTTTATGATAATCTGCCTCAGAAATGGGTAAAAAATGTTAGGATTTTTCATCTAGATAAAAAACATATAAATGTGAAATTAAACTAAAAGAAGTACAGATATAATAACACAAAAACTAATTTATCCATTCTTCTTCTTCTTCTCTATATATAAAAAATTATAAAAGAAGTGCAAATATACGAAATTAAAATGAAATGAAGGGAAAAGCCAAGATGAACGCAAAGAAACTTCAAGAAAAAGATGAATAAAAAAGCTTACCTCAAAAAAACTGGGAAATTAAAGCTAAACGAAGAAGGAAATGCAAAGAAGACGTATGTTCCAATGTGGAAATTACGACATTTAGTAAAACTTGAAACCATTTAAATCTTAAATAAATATAAGGTAATATTTTTTTTAAATATTTTTAATTATTTAATAATAAAAAATTCATCTTTATATACGCGACAGTTGATGGTTAAACCCAAATCTTAAACAATAATAATAATTATTTAATCATAAAAAAAACATTTGGTTCGAAATATTATAACGTGATAAGAAGGGGATATTGGGGGAGAAAATCCATTGGCTATGAAACATAACAGATATGGATGGTCCTTTTGAGTGGCTCATGTGTCTTCTCAGTTTTGCTTCTATTTTCTTTATCAGATTTTCAATTAATTAATTATTTTTAGGATAAACTACATTGACGGTCACTGAAGTTTTAGAGTACTTTTACTTTAGTCATTAAACGTTTTAAAATTGTATTACAGTCATTATATTTTAATTTACTTTTATTTTAATTATCGTTAAAAGGAATAATATGATTGTATTTTCGATCGAAGAAACCATCAAATGATAATAAATACAATGATTGAAAAAGAGTGATAATTGTAAAATCTTTTAATATGCCACATCAACTTTCGTTAATAGTCTAATGATTGAATAATTAAAATGAAAAAAAAATTCACAGCAATAATTTTAATGAAAGTTTTTTGATTTTGATGATCAAAGTGAAAATAGCTTAAAACTTTTAATGATTATTAATATAGTTTATCCTTATATTTTTGGATAAACTATGTATTTAGCCACCATATTATTAATTTTTTTAAATTATGAATAACATTAGGCTTTTGTTCTATTTTAATCATGTAACATTAGAAATGATAATGTTATATTATTTTATGATGACACAATGACATTATCGTTAATATTTTAACTATTAATGATTAAAACAAAACTATAAATATAGGTGAATGATTAAATACGTAATTTAAAGATATTTTATTTATTTATTTATTTGAATGAGCGAGCACCAAACAAAACTAACTGCAAACCTGAGCGAAAATCGATGTGCTGTGGGTCCCACTTTCCACGTCGCCCCTTTTGGAAACAGTCTGTGTGCTTAACTCGTTATTTTCTATTTTATTTTTGTATTATTGGATTGTTTCCAGAGTAAATGACATACTTATTAATTTATCTCTCACTTTATTATTATTTTTATTATCTAATTATTATTTTTATAATTATATTTAATTTTATATTTTATTATTGATTTATTCTTTTATTATTAAAAGTTTAATGATAATATTGACATGATATTTTTATTATTTTTTCATTTTCTACATAATTATTTTTAATTAATTCTATTCATTTAATAAGATGATGACATGTGTTATCACCTTATTAGAAAGACAATTAAAATATTTTTATAAAATGGGGACCGTTGGAATTAGACCTTGATCATTTTAAAAAGAGGGATAGATGTTTAATTACTTAAGTTTGCTCGGAGACAGAGTCATGATACCAGCTCAAGAGGCACAAAGTATAATTAATCATAAAAAACGAGAGAAACAACATAAACTTAATCTTAGAAAATAAGAGGAAAATCAAAATAAATTAAAACTTAAAGGACTAATTTAATATTTACCCATGTATATTTTTAAATTTAAATGATGCATAACTTGGTCTCTTATTATGTTCCACCATAGATAATATAAGTGATTAAAATGTAATTTTTTTAAAAAAATAGTAGCAAAAAATGAGTAAAATTGAAGAAAGTGATTATTTAAATAGTTTACACCTTAATAAATGTTTATACTCACAGCTTAGCTAGAGGTCACTTTCTATATTTTTATTTTTATAATTTTATTTTCTTTCAATTTAGTCACAACAAAGAAAATGAAATCGTAAGTCTGTCGACTACTTTATTAAAGTCGGTTTCAATTATGGAAGACTAAGGTTACCGTAATATTCATTATATTTTCATAAAAACTTTTAGAGATCAATATTTTCTTTTTGTTCCTTTTACCATTTCCCCTTAATTTTGTTCTATTACACAATTCTAAGTAGAAAAATTATTTATTTCATCGTTTGCTTTTGTAATAATATTTAAAATTATTTTTTTAAAAAGTATAAGTTAAAATAAATATAGGGTTGAGTATAGAATACAAAATTTAAATATTCACAAGGGAATATAATAATTAACCTTTTTAAATACATAATTTAAAAATAATAAAATATAAATTCATTGACCCACTTTAATAAAAAAATATTATTCTTTTTAAAGATTCTAAATTCAATTTTTTTAAATAATGAGTATTTATATTTTTAGGGTGTGCGCACATTTTAAAAATGTAAAAGTAATCTGTTTAAATATAAATTCAAACCTTAGCTTTTAGTTTTGGTTTATTCGGTAAATAAATATTTATATTATATTTAATTTTTTTAAGATTGAATGTTATGTTTATTTAAAAAAAATATTCAATATATGAATGAAATGTTTTATTACTTTTAATTACTTTTTTGCTTTCTTTTAAAATTCTTAAATTTAGAATCAAATATTCAATTTTTCCTTCCTTTTCCATTTGTTGAAGAAGAGATTCATCCGCCATTGATGTTCTATTTTGAACTTTTTCACTTTGGGGGTCTATGCAATCTTCAAGGGTAAAGAATACAAATGGTCCATTGATTATGAAGTGATTCTTTATTGAGTCTTCTCTTATTAAAAGTTATAAAATGGTCACTCGATTATGCATATATTTCAATTTTGACATTTTTTATTAAAACATTAACAACATTCTTAACTGGACATTAACCTATTAACTAAAATATGATAAAATTATATTTTAATCATGTCTATTGCACCACCATTGCTTTCAAGTATTGTCTCGATAACATAATGTTTCAAGTACTAGCTCAATAAAATAATATAAATGGAGAGTCGATCAATAAAATATAACTCAAATTATTGTAGTATCAAATTTTATCATATCTCAGTCAACATGTTAACGTCCAACTCAGACAACCACTTATTTTCAACGGAAAATGACAAGTTTGAAACATATAAAGAGTTGGATGATCATTTTGTAACTTTTAATAATCGAGAGACTAACAAAGCAACACCCTATAGTCGGTGATCATTTTGTAACTTCTAATAGTCGAGGAACTCAATAAAATAGTATCCTATAATCAAGGATCATTTGTGTACTTTACCCAATCTTCATTTCCTCCTCAATAATTCCAGAATCATTGCAATCTTTAATTTTTTTTTCAACGGCTTTTTATGAGATATTCTCTTTGTTTGGTGATCCACATTTTTTTATATTAATATATAACGGTGTGTTTGTTTGCTGTAAAACCAATTACGGAATTGGTTTTCCCCGAAATCTCGTGTTTGTTTCATGTAATCCGTTTTTCGGAAAATGTTTTCCCGTGTTTGTTTCACGTAATTCGTTTTTCGAAAAATGTTTTCCGTGTTTGTTTCACGTAATTCGTTTTCCGGAACGTAATTCATTTTCCTAGTAACAGAATTTCCTTTGTGTTTTCTGTAAAATGACTTACGGATTCATTTTCCGTAAGTCATTTTCTAAACTTTTCACTTAAAAGAAAAAAATACTCAAAATAATTTTATTTTATGAATTTAATATTAATAAAATATTTTAATATCATTTTCATCAAAATATTAATTATTAAAATATTTAAAATATATTTATTAATATTTATAATAATATAATATTATATTTTTAGTTTAATAATATAATAAATTATATTATAATAATATAAGATATTATATTTTTTTATTTTAATAATATATAATAATTTTTTATATATTTAATAATGAATAATATTATTTATATATTTAAATAATATTTTAGTAAAGATATTTAAAATATACTAATTAATATTTTTAAAATATAATATAACACTATTACTTTAATAAATAATTAATATAATTTATAATATTTTATTTCACTAAAATATACCAATATTAATATTTTTATTAAAAAAATTATAAAAAAAATATGTAATAATAAATAAATCATTTTAATATTTTAAAATAATAATATTAAGTTTTATGAGAAATAATATTATTTATTATATTTAATATTTGTAATAAATAATTTTTAAAAAACTCTTCAACTAGTGGAAAAAAGGTTTTCCAGACATCATAAAACGTTTTCCATGGATGTTCATTTTCCAGTAATTCATTTTCCAGAAAATGAATTACAGGCAAACAAACAGACCCTAAATATCATATAATTATCGCATATGAAGATGTTCTAAGAAATAACATAATTAAAAAAATAAATTAAATGTTTTTTTAAATTAAATAATTTTTGAGTTCTCTTATATTGTTGTCTATATAAAGAGATTTTACGCATAACTATGTATTTATTTATTTATTTATACATACATTGCATTGCATTGTATCTTTATTTTTAATTTTTTTGACTGCCGGAGGTCTTTCATGGAAGCTGCTCTCAATCCATGCGTTGGGGGCAGCCTACTACCCTACCTCCCCTTACCCCCATTACATATGAAAATAGAGTTTTGTTGTTGTCGTCGTGAGTTCTCTTATATATATAAATTTGTAAGTTACATAAATTTAATATGAGATATTTATTCAAATGGTTCTCTATCGTAATCACTCCAAGTAATATTTGATGAAAATGTTGAATTGAAATAGTTAGTAGTTAAAATCGAATGGTAAAAGGAATCAACGGGGATTGATTCGAAACCTAAAAGAACCTTTAAACTTTTTAATTTTCTCTAAAAATTGTCACCTATTACAAAAAGGCCCCCCACATTACAAAATTTACAAGTAACTGATTGGTTCGAATTTTAAATTGGTTTTATTAATCAAATGTCAATCTATTTACATGATAATTACAATAGTATTCTTGTATGTTTTGAATTTATCATATTTAGATTACATGGACACGAATATTTTAGAGGGTAAAGTACACAAATGGTCTCTCAACTATAAAACATTACTTTGTTGAGTCTCCAAAATATTGAAAGTTGTTAAATGATCCCGCGGCTATATGACATTACTTTGTGGAGT